AAAAGTGGCAGGAAGAAAATTGGTATCCAGAAGTTGCCCTGGCCGGGCCAATCTCCTGACATGAACCCCATCGAAAACCTTTGGGCCATACTCGACCGGCGAGTCAAGAAACAACCAAAAAAAACAACTTCGAAGAGCGATCTACTCCAAGTTTTGAAGCAAAAGTAGGCGAAAATCCCACAATCTAAAATTGACGAGATGATTCTCATGATGTCCCAAAGGATCAACGAACTCCACGAAGCGAAAGGAAGGTCTAATAGATATTAATTAAATTATAAATATATCAATTCATGTGAATATGGCTGAAAAATTTCATTTTTTCTGAAAAGGTGGTGTCTATTTACTTATGACCACGCTGTTTATATTGGGATAGCAGGAATAAAATACTGAAAGTAAATGTAATCTAGTCATTTCAGCTACTGTAGATAAAGTGGCACTGCCTTTGAAATAAATAATGATTGTTCATTTTCATGAAACAAAAGATGTTTGAAATAGGGGAAGTTGGTATAAGATGGCCACCCTAACTTTGAATGTAGTTTTCACCAGTTAAAATGAATGTCATGAAAAATAAAAGGGTTTTAAAATACGTTATTTTGTATCATAAATGTCATATCTAATTTTAAAAAAAAGATTGGACATAGACCTTCTGCAGATGTTAAAAAAGTTTACTTATTGTGGTTGGAGACTGTTTTACTCATAAAGCTGGATAAAACAGCCTTCAAAACAAGGTAAATGGATCCAATCTAGTTAATAAAAAATACAATTTAAATTAAATGCTGAATTCAAACCAAATTTAAATGCTCTGATCAGAAAGGCTGTGCGCAATGCGCATTTAATATATTTGACTGGCCATAACTTATTGTGCCTTTTAAAACGTTGGAGTCGCCAACTTATTTTATTAAAATTGCACATTATATAGGATAATGTCGCAAAAGAACTTGAATATTAGTGTGAGGTAAGACGGTCCCGCGAGGGGTGGGGGGTACCCTAAGCTCCATAGAGCAAATGCACTTTGTAAAAATCCAGTCAACTTGTTCAAAATACCTGATGATTTATAAGGGTGTCCTTTTTTTACCGAAGTGGACTGTTTTACCTCTCTTCTTCCCAAACTTGAAGTGTCATAATACACATTTCATACTAAAATTAATTATTGTTTGAATTGTGAAATATTTCTATAATAATGTATGTATAAACTGAGCAAAAAATCAAAAAATCTAAATCATTTGCCAAAGTTTTATTACCCAAATACATTTTGATACTAGCGTATTAATAAAGAACCATCATCTAAACTATAAGTCTTGTTCTATAAAACTAGAAACAGAAGTTTCGTATCCTTAAATGTTACAGAAACATATTAACTATGGGAATACATTTTGGTTAAACGTTAAATTAGAATATGTTATTATCATTATAGCTTTTGTAGTAATTGTATCTTAATATTGATCACGTGAAACCGTGCAAGATAATAAAAACACTTACAAATGTAATGAACACGTGAAACATTCATTCCTCTAATTTTCTTGAGTACTTGAAGAAATGCTTGTTAACTGTATTTTTCATATTAAGGAATAAAATATTATGTAAAGTAAAAACAAAAGGTATATTTTTGACACGACTAAGTCGTAGAAATCATAACAATACCTCTTGAATCGTCTATAATGTAAATATTAGAATAAAATATCCTGATAATAAATTAACAGTATAGAAAGTATAATAATCTTTCTTGACTCGTTTACAGTTGAAAAATCTCAGCTATATCTCTTGACTCGCTTGCGTTTAATACCTTTTGACTTGTTTACGGGAAATATATTTCAATAATATTTTTTTAGATACTTTACCTTGCACAATCACAATATTATTTATTGAATCGTGTATAGCTCGTACAAATCAACTTTATGTTTCTTGAATCATTTGAATTTACAAATCACAACATTATCTCTCTTACAAAAGTTAACGTCGTCAAAGCGATCACAGTAATATCTTTTGACTCGTTTACGCCTTACAAATCACAAAAGTGTTTTTGAAGGTACAAGCGCTGTAAAAGAATATCATTATCCTTACATGTCTTATCTTTGTGATATAATAGAGAATATCACAGTTTAATATACACTCTTCTACAAATACCACAACGTGTGAGAACAAAGATGGAGCTTTCGTGTGCTCTTTCCAGACGATGATGTCTTTGTTTTTGTATTTCACTGTTTCTCATAACAGGAAATATCTTTTTATAACATCAGACTTCACTCTTCTCCATAAGTATGGATTATACTCTAGAATAATTTCTTCTTTCCATAAGAAAGGATCTTCATCCGCATTTACCCTACACTATTTTCCATAAAGGGATGTAACCCCCTTATTTGTATTTATTTCTCCATTGGAAATTTTACGGCTTCACACAGTTTATTGAGCGTGGAGATTTTCAACAGGAAACGAGGTTAATTTGAATCAGTTCAGCTAGGCGTAAAATCAGAAAGTAATCGTGGCACTCAGGGATGGAGATCGATCATCCTCTTCTCATCATCATACCCAACGTTTCACTTATTGAGGTGAGACTATCAGTAGTTTATAATCTCACAAGCAGCAGAATGCTAGGAATCAATAAGCATAGTATTAGTAAAATTAAAATCTTTGATACCCTTATGACCTCCACAGCGTTACACTACAAAATTATTTTCTTAACACAGAATTTCCAGTTTGATATGCATATTACGAATAGCATCAAAGATCTCAAGTGTTTATATATTTCATCACGTGATTATCTGCACGCTGAACAACAAATAAAGGAAGGAAATTGATTCGGTGGCCTAAGATGAAAGTATTATGGGCTTGAGTCTCATTTGAAACATTGAATCAGTATCAAAATAGAATCACGAATTTTGTCACTGTTTTTAATAAATACTTAAAAACGGTTCTTGCCAAAGCCTAAAGCCACGATAATATATATATCAGAATGTCGCTTTAACTAACGTGGAGCACACATATATTGGAGCAGCAGAAATTCAAATATAATACTAACAATTACTGATAAATTAGATTTCTTGAAATGATACAGTATTTGTAATTAATTAAATCAGAGTTCACTTTTATTATTTTTACTATCACTGGAAGCAAAAGAAAAACTTTTAAATTTAATATAGTTTTCAGAACTAAAACTCTTACAAAATGTTCTTAAGAATGTCAATATTTTCTTTAGGGTAACTAGATAAAAACGGAGCTAAAGAATTAATGTTATAATCACTCTTTTAGGATGATTTATTATTATGAAAGCGCTAGTTACATTGTTTTTTTTCTGAGTAAAATAAAATAAAGCATTTTTGAAAAAGAAAACTCACAGATTGAGAGTAAACATCATAAAGATTTTCAGAAACATCATAAAATAGTTTTTAAACTTTTTTGATAAGCTGCAAAGCCAGAAAAGGGTGTTTATAAAGCTTAGTTTGACGTAAAAAACATCCATTGTCTCTTTGTCTAGAAATAATCAGTTAAAATCATAAATATTTCTCTCTTACAGGCGATTTTTAGTCTGTAGATTCAAATAATAGTAAATTTTCTTCTTTAAACTCGTTTTAAGGTTTTATTCTAAGGTTTAACTCTTCAACGCTTTATAGGTATTTATATTTTACATAACCCTTCAAATGTAAGTGGTTCAAACTAATCAGAATTTAAACTCACATAAAGAATACAATTCGTGTTTTATTGAGGAATATGAAGCTTTCTCAACTACCGATAAAACATTCTAATAACTAATCACTTTCAATACAAAGAGCGAATTTCTGTGAGGTACTAATTTATATGTATGTATAAATATGTTTCTTCAATGAAATTTTAAATCATACTGATAAATCATGACCGGAATTAGGACTCCTGCAATGCTGTTCTAATTACAGGAATCGGTAATAACTACAAAAACACCGAGGAAAAATTACATTAAAAAACAAACTCCATTTTGATAAATACCAGAAATGCCTCTAGCCCCCAGTTTTATGATGATTTAGTCTTTTCTGTTATGGTTTTCAAGAAATTAATTATGAAGGTTATTATTTAAATAATTAACTTGTCTCCATAAGGGTTGAAAATCTTTACGTTTTATTAAATTAAGAAGGATGCTATTCCTTTACTAAGGAAAGTGTGGCAATATACAATAAAAGGTATATATACATATATATATAACCGCTTATCGAAAATCATTAAGTCAAAGCTAAGAACTGCAAATTATTCTAAGTTAATCTAACTTATAATACCATTTACTCTACGATACTTTTTGGTTATACGAAAAACGTTTACTTTTCCGTTGACAAAAAGAAAAAGAAATGTTTCGTGGTGTGTTACCTGCATTGGTGGCCATCATCAACTATATTACGCTAAGATTAGAGCTTGAAAGATTTTCGATGATTTTAAAATGTGTAGTCATTACTCATTACTTTAGAACAATGTTGAATTTTTAACAAGTAAAGCCATTCAGTCGGAGGCATACACAAGGAATCTCATACATTACATGAGCCGTCACACGATGTTCTGGCTACATCAAATAGTGCAGGAGTGGAGATAAGACGATAAAGCCTATGATAAAAATAGCGATCAGTGTTATAGCTACAGAGCTCAGTCCCATCCAAGCCCCGTCTTGCTCCTTCCAACGGCGATGCCGCGTGAAAACAGGATGATCATACGGATGAACGCATTCTTCAGGGGGCGGAAGAGGTAGGGGAATTTCATCGATGAAGCTATGTTCGCATCCACAATCTCTTCTGGCGATGGATTGCCTGGAGTCCATCCAGGTATGGATACAAGGATGTACAGGCATAAATACTAGAGTCTTGTAGTGGACGTCATAGATCGATCCGAAGAAAACCTAGAAGCAGCTGTTGTGTTCAAATTATTTTACTTTAAAGATATTTTAGCCATATTATTGTTCATAACAGTTGATGTTGAATGGGACTGAAAACAATCCACCTTCCACAATGTAAAGCATTTTCAGAGATATTCATTACTTCCGAAGGCTAAATAAAATTCCTTGTAAATTACCTTAAAATTTGATGTTTCACCATTCGAAAATCGTAACCAACTTAGTTTCACTGGCTGAAATAGAGGTGCTTTAAAGAAACCACTGAATATCGAAATATTTACATTACGTTCCCAACTCTGACGCTGGATTATATTTGGATTCTGTCAAGTAAAGGCAGCACTAAATATAACTGACATAAGCTACACGCAAAATTTCGAACACAAATTATCTCCAATAATATAAATGGAAAAATCGGTTTCAGTTATGATAATGAGCATTCATTTTTAAAAGAAGTGAAACGGTAAATATCTATCGAAGAAAATCACATTCATAGGTAGAAATAATTCAGAACTGCTTACGTGTACAGAACACGAGAATGCGATGTGTTACATAACGAGCACTGCACAGCACACCCGCTGGAGAACAACTAGCGTCACGTAACAGTTGCTACCCGAAGATCCGCTGAAACTTGGTCGATATTTCGATATTCTGTCTCTGCTTGAATCGTCGATGTAAATGTGTTACATTCACTTCCATTACACAAATATTTTATACTGCAAGTACCAAAAAAAAGTCATTCTTACAAATAGCTGCCACATCATTCGTTATTTAGCACAAGTGAAATCAAAAATCTTCAGAGGAATGAGAATAAAACTTGAAATTGTGTGAATAAAATGACATGTAGCCACAGAGAAATAAGGAGAGAAAGGTCGTTTTATTCACAAAATGTCAAAGCAACTCCAATCTGCGCTACGTACTCTGAAAGTTGAAATTACATCGATATAATTAATAGGAAAGTAAGTAATGTTATGTATAAAACCAGAGTATTTAGGCTTAAAACCTGGATAAAAAATGAAATAAATGAACCAACAAGGTCTACATATCTTTGGCATCGCTATACTATTAACACATTGTTTTCATGCTACAAATAACAATTATTTATTATTCTTCATGCTACAACTAACAATTATTTATTCTTCTTCATGCTACAAATAACAATTATTTATTATTATTCATAATACAAATAGTGATGTAATTACTTCATGTGCTATTCATACGTTTAAAAGTACAACTATCTATATAAGTAATACGCTTGTGTTTGTCTGTCAAACGTTACAAATTTTATATTGTTAGAAAAGCTTTTGTCCGAAGAGTCCGGGTTTCATATTGGCTTTTCCATTCAGAATCAGCTTACATACTTTTTGCTTAGTCAAACCTTTTTAATGCAACGGGTATGCTACGCGATGGCACAATGTCGTTGTCGTCACGTGACAACTGGCATCGATTTCAACTTTAATTTATATTTGCAAATCATTTTACACAAACAACACTTAACCCGCGTGTAATTTCCTAAAATGACACAAACATTACAATAAATACAAATTATATGGGCTTTCTTCATTTACTTAGGTCTAAAATACGCATTCGCAATTTGTTCAAAACCATATGCTTATCACTTTGTGAACACGCATTCAGACGTTTCTATATATTCAGCTACGTTTACTTTCATTACAACTTTACATTTACTTTACTTTGCAATAATTCAGCTTCGGTTCGTTTCGTGTACTGCTATAAACACTTTTTAGCTACTTTTTCCTTTAGTACGAGTTTTATTCTTCGTTTTTATGAGTTTCTTTGTTTCAACTTGTAAAACCGTATCATAACTGTTTCATACTTTGTACACTATTGTAAGTACCATTACTTTACTTCATTGTTTACTTTATGTGTAGTTTTATTGGATAAAGTTACATACGCGTGGCTTATTAAATAAAGTTACGTAAGTGTGGATTATTAAATAAAGTTACGTAAGTGTGGCTTATTAAATAAAGTTATGTACGTACGGTTTTATTAAACAATGTTACGTCTACGTGAGTTTGTTTGTCTGATCGCGTAAAATGTTTTCAGATAGACCAGAATTTATCGATATAACACATAATGCTACAAGAACGCGTATCTTAAATAGCTTGTTTGAAAATGACAAAATAAGGAAAATACAAGCGAAGGACATGAAAAATACAAAAAACATTTTTCGGGTCGCGGCTAGTATCCAATGAAAAGGTTTAGGTAATTGTACATATAGGTACATTGCAACTTACTAACGTAATCTGAAGGAAATTAACAATTTGAATAATTAAATGTGCATATTCTATGATAACTAGAGGAAATTATTGTAGCAATTCTTGCCAGAAAAAATAGCTAACAACGAATTTTTTTTTTATCTTAAAAATATTATACATCTGACTCGATCAAAATATAGAACCATAAGCGAAAGATTGATGCTTCTCTAGTATTTACAACACCTGAATTCTTAACATTACAATGTTTTCAGATATTACTTGTTCGTAGAAGTTACCCCCAGTTTGTCTTTTAAGCACAAATGTATACAATGTACATCTGCACTGTGGCCACCTCGGATATCCAACCCGAATTGTAACGTTATAAGCCCTCTCAGTTTAATCTTTCTCATGAAAGCTGCACACAGGTGAATCGATATCAAAAACGTATGATGACAATGGCTAAAAAACAACAATAAACCAGTAACGTTATGGCCTAATGTAGCAGACATATAAACATACATATATATACTGTATGTGAGTAAATATATATATATATAGATCCATACTTAAAGGAAAGACTTTTACCAGGAAATTGACGCGTTCCTGAAAACTGTGTTCATTCTATCATCGTTTTTCAACTGTGTTTCACTTTTAATGGTTGGAGACGGCTTGTCGAAACGTTGTACATTTGCTGTTATGTTAAACTTATATTAGATTTTTTCTTCATTACCCATTCAAGTCGTCTCCAACCATTATTAGTCTCAAAGTGGGTTCCTCGTCATCGAATTTGTGTTTCACTTTATTCTAGGATAGATGTCGTATGAAATAAAAATGATTTCACAATGAAGGTTTCGTATTTGTTGTGTTCCTTAGTTACAGTGTTAAATTATTTATTTATGGCTGCATATGTGTAGATAAAAGGAGTATTTATGGAGCATTGGAAACTGTTGTTTTGTTGCTTAGTTACAGTATTAGAGTGTTTCTATATTATACCCATGACGACAAAATGAAAATTAATATTTTGCTGTCAATCTGCAAAACAAAAGCTGATATTCATTGAATATTAATAACGAGAACAACATTTGTGACGTTCACACAACGTGTCGACGCATGATTTACGTCGAATTAATATGGCTTATGGTTTTATATCTAACAGTATTCGAACAATATAGTACTAAAAGCGGAGCGAGCGGTCGCTACATTTCAAGGTATTAATATTAATATTTTGATGGTTTAAAACGCACACTGCAACTGATAGCTCCACCTTTGAGACGGAAGTTTGAAACTGGTAAAGCAAGGGACTAGACAAAAAATTTGGCTAGTTCTACACAATCAATAAGACACAGAGAAACACTGAGCTTTCACTTATTTGGGTATTCTAATATGGCATTAAGAAACCAACAAAACATTTTTAAAAAAGTTATACGGGTTCTCTGGGCTCTCCAGTATTGTGATCGTTAACAAACCTCATCAGAGCAGATTACAAACATTACTGTCAGTGTACAAAACGATGATGTTCGGTCAAAATGTAGATTAGATGAGAAATGTGGTTTTATGAAGATATTTGTATAAGTTGTGAAACCACTTACATTGGTGAGACGGGATGAAAACAATTGAACGTTTCGTCCAATACAAGAACAGGGAAGTGCCGCTGATTAAAAAACAAGAACCTTAAACCTCTGTGACATATAGTTCTTACAGCGTTTTTGAAAGAGAAATTCTGTCGTTAGTTATATCAAGTTTTTATGATACTACCATATAAGGTAAATAGTGAGCATTACGTAATTGCTAATGTGATAACATACATGTATACGCAAGGACGAGGAGATAATTAAACATATGTTTTAAGTACACAATACCCACTATGGTATTACACACATATTGTTGTAGGATCTTGAATTATCCTGTTAATACACCATATCACGCCACTGTTACACGTTCTTGTGTTCCATTTGAAAATTCCTTCTGCTTTCCGTATTCATTATGAATAGAACAATCGCTAATGAAGACTTTTACCCGGAACGATAGATGGAATTTTATCTTGAATTTTAGTTGCTTGTAACCGAAAAAGGGGAATGATTTGTTTGTTTGTATTTAAGCACAAAGCTACACAATGGACTATCTGCGCTGTGCCCATAACCGGTATCGAAACCCGGTTTTTAGCGTCATAAGTCAGCATACTTACCGCTGTGCCACTAGGGGGCAAGGAGGAAGAGGTAATTGCATCTCTCTGACATACGTCGGACGTATATAATGGTATAATGTTTCTAATACATGTATATACACTCATTGTATGTTATAATAATATGTTAAAGTCAGTTGCATAACTTGTGCACCACATTTTCTTAAATATACTGATACACATCCCTGAAA